GTATAATTATTTGGTTTTTATATTTTAAGTTGTTTATTTATTTATTTATTTTTGGTATTTTCCATATACGTAATTCCAAACTAGTTTTTGCATATATTATTTTGCTTAACTTGGTTATCATTATCAATTAATAACAAAAAAAATATGAGATATTTTTAATATTGCATATAGTGATAAGGAGTTCAAACATATTTGGGGCAAGGAATAAGAAACGCTTACAAAAATTAGCTAAAAACTGAAAAACATTTCTTCTAGGTTTTAAGATATAAAATCATCAGGAAATTTTTAGAAAAATCTTAATATTTTGGTCAAATTATGAAATAATCCAAAATTATTTTTTTTACAAAAAAATCATAAAAACGGGTAAATGTTGCATTCTGACAATTTTATTCGGTTCGGCCGATAACATTAACAAATTAATATGAGACTATTCCGACTCAAAATATTGAGACTATTTCGTAAATTGATACAAATTATTGAGACTTTCTGCAAAAATCTTTATTTTTTTATTATTTTATTGAATACGCAAATAAATATATTATTTTTAATTTTTTTTAATATTAAAATTATTAAATAAATGAATATATAGATATATTTTAAATATATGTTTATCCATACTATATTATAAAGCATATTGGTCATATATCTTGAATTTTAAAAGGTATAACTTACAAAGTTTTTTTTTTAATACAAATCAATTATTCATAAATAAATCATTGATAGTTGCCAAAATTTAAAAGACGTGAATTAAGGAAAATTATTATGAAATTCAGTTAGTTGAATGATAATTTTGAAATATTGAATTCATATATATAAATGAATTTAGATGCCTTAATCTAGACATCATTATTAATTAATTTACACCAATAGTCTGAACCAAAAATATAAATATAAGGTTAAAACATAAATATTTTACTTAACATTGATAATTATTTTATTACTTTATAACTAATTATAACATCTACCAATTATTTTGTTTCTATTATTTTAATGAAATCATATAATAATATATTGTATGCTCAAAAGCAAATAAAAAAAAACCAAAAATAACAAATAAAAAAAACGATAAAATGAAATAATGAATTAATATGGCTTGATCGATACGAACATGATAACTATTCTATTAATTAAGTGTTTCAAAAATGATTATTTTGGAATCCCTAACTACAAGCATTTAATAATCATAAACCTAAACAACTATAATCATAAACCTAAATAACTATAGGGATTGAAGTCGTATATAAGTAAATCTTGAATAATTAAACATATTAATATCATAGGGGGATGGAGGGGCATAGGCCATATATGTAGACCATGATACCGCGTAAGATACAATTCGATAAATCAGTTATTTGTTGTCGTCGCTTTGCGTGGGCACACATCTAGTACATATAAAAATGTATTATACGTTACAAAATAAGTATAAATATAATAAATACATATAAAAACATATTTATATACTTTTATACCTTAAAAACGTGTTTAAAGTTTTTTTTTTTTTTTCATTAAAACATATTATCGAAGAGATGTACTTTTGGTTATTTTATCTGATCAAAATTTTAGTATAGATCGTGCTAGTTAGATATATCGATTATAGACACATGTCCACCATACTTAAACAGTCTAGTCTAAATATGGTCCTTTGTCCACTATACTTAGACATGCTAAGTATGGTTGGTTGTCCACCATACATTTATACTCTACGATACTTAAGCATCACATGGTCCACCGTACTTAAGCATGACCTGGTATGTGTTTATAAATTATGTATATGTCGACATGTATGTTGTGTGGTCGGGTTGAGGCGGTCCTGCTTTGTGTTGAAGGCCAATAGAACCTGGGCAGTTCGGATAGACTGAAGGCCCTACGAGGCGGTCCAGTCAGGTTGAAGGCCTGGCGAGCGGTCCGGATAGGCTGTAGGCCCTGTGAGGTGGTCTAGTCATGCTGAAGGCTCGAGAGCATCTGGATAGGCTGTAGGCCCTGTGAGTCGGACCGGTCATGCTGAAGGCTCATTTATGCATGCTACGTTTGTTATATGCGTAGTGGTATTTTGGGAAAACTCACTAAGCTTTGGGCTTACGGTTGTTGGATTATGTTTCAGGTACCTCCGAGGATCGCAGGAAGGCAAAGGCGTGATTGTACACCTCCTCATGTTTTGTTTCACGATTTTGGGATTTCTCTGATATGAATCTTATTTTGAAAACAGTTTGTAAACGATGATGATTTTGGAATGTTTTAAAAGTTTAAATTTTTCAAGAATTTTATGAGTGTTACACCACGATTCGGAATCAAGCCAACCCCTAATGAGTTTGAGGCTCTTCAAACCCGGTTCGGTTTCATGCCTGAACATGAGGTGCAAATTCCACAGAAAAAGGGTCGTCATCTGTCAGCCACTAGTCGCCAAAGTTGGATTCCCCATTCTGATTTTTGAGGCGGGTATAAGGCTACCGAAGACTGATTTCTTTGACGAGATCATGTGTTTGTGTGGCTTCTCTGTTGATGACTTGACTCCCAACGCCGTCAACAAGATTGTGGGATTTGAACTGGCTTGTTGACCCCTTGGAGTGCTTCCTCAGTTTTGGGCCTTCAAGGCCTACTTCAACTCCTGCACCCAGTCTGGTGTCCATACCTTTTCTCAGAGGCGGGGAATTCATGGGTTCATTGTCAACCAGAAAGTGCCCAATAAAAATTGGAAATTCAAATGGCTCTGGGTGAATCACAACCTGGTTGGCTTTGGCTATCCCCGAGTGACCGTCCTTTTGATTGGTCACTACAATTGTTGGGTGTTAGACTGTTCGTGGCACATGAGTTGAGGACTATCTACTTTAACGGAAAGGATTGGGAGGATTACATTTTAGTCGCAGTAGGAATGAGTGCCTCCTAGAGGGCCTAAGAGATGATGCCTTAGTTCTTCTTGGAGAAGGACAGTAAGTACCCTTATCTTTCCCCCTCCCCCCAATATATATATATATATATATATATATATATATATATATATATATATATATATATATATATAATTTTTAAGAGAATATGTTTACCCACTCCATTTATTGTTTGTCTTTGTAGGTTTTGAAAGGATCTTGTCCTTTGAAATGGTTCAACGAGGCAAGTATAAGGGCAATCTTCAGTACTGTGAGGTACCTCTGGTGGAGACCCTTCCGCCACCCATTCGCGCTGATCAAGCCGTATCGCTTGGTGCACCACCTATTGTCAGGGATAAGGGGTTTGCACCCCAAGCTAATCTGACTTTGGTGGATCCCCTTGTTAAGGGTGTTTCTCATGATGATCCTTCGCCTCAAAACTATGAAGACGAATTAGTGAAGGAGGCGGCAGTTGATGGCAGCCCAACCATTACCAAGCGAAGAATAGCTTGGGTGGACTCCCCACTTGCTGTAGAAATTGGTTCAGACTTTGTAACTTATATGTATTTGTTTATAACAAAAAAATAGAAGGAGAAATCTATGAAACTTCTCACAAAAGGATGACATTCGTACCCAAATTTATTTTGATCAAGCAGTCAATCCTTCTCTGGATGACTCGCGATGAACTTCGTACAACAAATCCCAAGTTAGATCTTGTAGCAACACCAAGCATATCATATCTTGTAGCAACACATAGCACAACGTCATACTTTCTTTTATTTTAATTACAACTTTGTGCACAAACCTATAGCAACACCAATTCGTAGTTCTTTTTATTTTAATTACAACTTTGTACACAAATCTATAGCAAGACCAAGCCATAGTTTGCCTATTACATATCTTGTTGTCAAGATACATCATCATATAAAGACACTTTATTCAATCTTACCACAAGTTTTTTCACCAGTTATAATCAAACAAATTATACATGTCCATAATGTAGGGACGGAGCTTCAACATATTATTTGGGGGACCGAAAATATAATATGTATAAATATCGGAGAACAAGGGGGGCCACCATCAAAAATTTATATTTTTTGATCTAATATGTATTAAATGAAAGTACATGGGGGCTATTTGTAACAAAATAATTAAGGGGGGGGGGGGTGGGCACAACCCCTGACCCTAATAAAACTCCGCCCATGATCCATACTATAATCTCGAAGCAAACTGAAAAAAATGAATGTTGTTTGTTTGAAATACAAATTGAACAAAATTCTTTTGTTATGATCTTAAAATAAACTTTTCTATTAAAAAGATTTTATTGTGGATGTTTTAAAAATAGAAAGATAATAAATGTGGAGTTGTTAAAAAACATATATAATTCGGGATAGAGGATAATTAAGTAAAATAACAATAATTTGTATAATGGAAAGGAACATATAGAATAATAGCTTGTGGAAAATATGTCATTAGCTTGGTGAAAACACAACCAAAATCAATCTTATCATTTAGATGGATGGTGTCACTTATAGCACAATGATATATTTTCGATCAATAATTTCTTTTATTCAATTTATTATTATTATGTAGAAAACAATCCTTATAACTATATTAATAAATTTAAAAGAAAGACAATAGACGAGGAATCAATCCACAAAAAACCAACACCCAACGACCTACTCTAAATTTACGTTCCAAATTTTCCTTGAGGTCATATTCAACTAATTTTGCTACAAGGTCTAAATTCCATTACAATTTACTAAGAAAAAAATATGAAAACACATATACCAAATTAAACAACACGTTCTATTTTCTATTTCTGAAAGGGAAGAATTCGTTTTTGGAACGGAACCATTATTAAAGCAAATGCAGCAACATTTGTGTTGACGAATATAAAATATTTATTTTGAAAATGACTGAAACAGAAAAAGGAAAAACAAAAGACAAAAAAAGCTGAAAAGTGACAGGTGTCATTACAATGACAGGAAGCAATAAGAACCGGCCACGTAAGCTAGTGCTTCTCCAGTCACCATAACTCTCCTACGGACCCCCACTAAAGTTTTTCACTACTTTTCCTTTTCCTTATTAAATGCTTTGCATCATCATTCCTCTCACTTTCTTCCTCAAAGAGAATCTCTCTCTTTCTCTCTCTCTCTCTCTCTCTCTCTCTCTCTCTCTCTCTCTCTCTCTCTCCCACAAACAAAAATGGCTTCTACTGAAGCAGAAGAACCATCACAATCCTTCAAAACCAAGGTAGCATATCGTCTTCATCATCATCATCATCATACGATTGTTATGATCAGTTCATGTTTACTAACTTTCATTTTTGTATCTTTATTTGTCTGTAGACATCGGTTTTAAGAGTCTCCATACACTGTCAAGGCTGCAAACGCAAAGTCCAGAAGCTTCTTCAATCTGTTCCAGGTATCTTTCTCTTTTATGTTTTTCTCTTTCGATCTCGTGATTGTATGAATTAGAAGCTGATGTTTTGAGTTTTGTGATTCCAGGAGTTCAGGAAATTCGTATTGAAGCGAAACTACAAAGGGTTGAGGTAACTGGGGATGTTTCGGCGGAGACTTTACTGAGGAAACTGGTAAAAGCAGGGAAGCATGCGGAGTTATGGCCGGAAAAGCCACCTGAGATTCGTGTGAAGGAAACTGAAAAACCAAAAACCACCAGCCAAGGGAGTGTGAGTGAAGAGTCTCCTGTTTCTGTTAAAGAAATCAAGCCACCAACGACTAAAACGGAAAACCCTGTTGAAGATCCAAAGAGAGTTAGTAAAACCGCCGCTGGTAGCGGTGGAGAATCGGCGATTAGCGGTGGAAAGGGTGATGAAGGTGTAGGTAAACGTGAAGGTGGGAAGGAGTCAGCTGAGGTAAAAGCTGAAGAGAAGAAACCAGAGACTACCGGAGCAGCGAGTAACCAAGCTTCTCAACCGGTGGGTGAGAAGAAGGAAGAGCAAAACGAGAAAGACGGCGGAGGTGGTGGTGGTGGTGGTGGTGAAGGGAAGAAGAAAAAGAAAAAGAAAGCGCAAAATAGTGATAAAAATGGATCATCAAGTGGCCAACCGCCATCAAATGGGAGATCAGTTAATGGTGGTGGTGGTGGCGGTGGTAGCCCACCGCCAACTAGACCTCCAACGAATCCAAGTCCTCCACGACATAATGGATATCAATATCCGCCACCTCATTACTATACGCCGCCACCAGCTCCGGTGTACACTGTCAGCTACAACACGGCTCAACCTCCGGTGAACAGCTATACGGCGTCGTATTACACACCCCCACCACCGCAATCGTATGCCTACTCGCATTTCAGTTCACAGATGGCTCCACCGCCATATGTACCACCGGATTATGATTCGTATAGGCAGCAGCCATCGGATTCATTTGAGATGTTTAGTGATGAAAATCCAAACGGGTGTTTGGTTATGTAATTATCTTATACTGCTTGTATGAGGGATTAAAATTTTCCAATTACATACCGTTTTCTTAGACATTAAAGCTAAAATTATATAGATGCTTTTTATAACATTTCTACATATAATGTTTCTTTTAACAATTTCACTTTTATGCACGATATAAGATAACTTACTATATTAGAACATGACTAAATTACAGAAATGGTCCCTTTGGTTGGCAGTTTTAGAGTTTTAGTCATAGTTTTCGATTTTAATAAATTAGTCCCTATTATGTGGTTCGATTACAATTTTGTCCTGATCTCTTAACAACGTCAATGTTTTTGTTAAGTACTTATACAATAATTAAAATATGGGAGTTTTACGATAGCACGAAGTTTGATCAATTTACCCATTTAGTCATTCAAAGTATTTTTTTTGTGTAATTAATCTTTAAAGTTAGGAATTACCTTCTAGGCAAAGAAATGAAGGAAAATGTCTCGTGTTTACAGGTTACATGCTGGCTTGTATTGACCGATGTGGACTTGAATAGACCACGTCACGGTACATGGCACCTTACCCGCCTTCAATGGAACCCTCAAGCGAACCAAGTGCAATACGTTCTTACCCAAATTAGTCTACCGCCCTCCTGAAACCCTCTTCATGATCGTTAAAACCCAAGTGATGCCTTCTTCATCTGCTCGATCCATCAACATCCGTCGTCTTGGACACAATGACGATGATGAACAATGTCCCCCATGTAAGTGTAAAAATGGTATCTGCTTCAAAAGAACCGCCTCGACTAACGATAACCCGTCTCGTACGTTTTGGAACTGCAAAAATTTGATGGTAAGTATTCCTTCTTTGTAATCCCATCCAATTTGGTATCTTTGACTGAAAATTTCACATATTTATTTAAGTCGTAACCCTAATTATATACTATATTTTTTATCAGTCAAGTGAAGGTCTAAGATGTAAAATTTTCAAGTGGAAAGACAAGGAAATAGAAGAGGGGTATTACAAAGACCATAGTCAGATTGTAAGATGAGGTATGAGCTATGAAAAAAGGAAGACTATAGTGAGATTGTGAAGGCTCAGAAAAAAGTGGTTCAACTGGAGCAAGCTAGGGGTGAACTACAAGATTTGAGCGAAGTTGAGAAGGAAGCTTTAGAGAACGATGTGATGGAACTGAAGAAGAAGAATGTAATCGTGAAGACTTACCTAGGATACGCTAACTGTTTGATCCTTGTATTGTTTATCACAATCATCCGGATGTGGTTGAATTTTAACTGAATTTGGTGGTAGATATTGTATTCGTAATGGTTGAAGATATATAATTCCAACCACTCTTTTGGATAATGTTTAGTTGTCAGGTAGGTACATGTATGGTTGTGTGGATGTTGACATGATCACATTAGAAAGTATTTTGGTTTATGGATGTTTACATGATCAAGGTAGGTTTGTGATTGGTTGTTTGGGTAGATGAATCAGGGTACATGAATGCTTTGGTAGATATAATTGTTCTTAACCACTTTTGTATCTAACTTATATGAATGAATGAATGGTAGTATTGATTCTATTTTATAATGGTTGACGACCTTGATTCCATTCTTTTGCATTATTAATCACATAGTGTGTGATGGGTTTTGAGCATTCTAACACTTCCTAAGTGTACATGCAACCCTAATAACCTTGGATCTATGTTTGTCTAATTGTCATGCAAAGTTGAATTCCAAGGTTATGTTCCTATCTAGCATACATGGGGAACAATTTTAACATAAAGTATAGATAGAATAACTTACCTTGTTGTTGCTTGTATTCCTTGAAACCTTGTGAGCCTAGCACCCCAAGTGTGATGCCTCAAATGCTTCACACAACACCAAATGCTCTTGGAAGAACTTATGAGAGAATACTCACTTCTTCAAAATCGGCCATGCCCTCTTGTTTCTTAGTGTAGCCGATTTTGGGTGGAGGATATGTTACTTATATAGTGTTGACACATCTAGGGTTAAACCCTAATGTGTCATGACTCTTCATTTCCATGATCCATGGGTTTGTAACTCCCATGGAGCATCCATGGAGCATCCTATGGGTGGAACCCAACTTGATGGTCCATGGAGCCTTTTAGCCCACTATACAAGATATGGATGATTTACATAATCAACCCATATATTTAATTAGTTATCTTTTGATCACTTAATTAATTCTAAATTAATTCTTGATCAAACTAATCAAATAATATTATTAATATATTAGAACTTATAATATATTAATAATCTCCAAGTGTTATTTCTCTCATTTAGTCTATCCAATTGCATGGTGCCATGCAACCCAAATGGACCATGCCGGGTCGGGTCAAGTACATACCAGAAATAGTTATGGACTTAGACACCTTATCCAACAGTCTCCCACTTGGATAAGTCTAATAACTATTACTGCAAGTATGACTTCAGGAACCGATCGGCAATCGTAGCTCTTTTCAAGGTTTCTCGAAACTGAGAAGATGATGGTACGCCATTTAAGATAAGTGATCATATAATCCTCTGTTCTAGATATCAGTCGGACAAATACATGGAACAATGTCTTACTTATTGTCCAACAATTTGTTTCCCGATTTCCGATTTGTTTGACAAAGAACTTCATTGAACACATCAATTTAGTTCTGACCGGGCCCGGTACATAGGTCAAAACAAAATCATCGAGGGGCCCAGATATCAGCTTCTAATCCAAGAAGGAACAGATAAACTTCGACTCATATGTTTGTTCTACTACTCATTGAATTACACATAAGAGCGCGATTTTATAACATCGAGTTACCAATGCGTTTTTCGTACAATCAATGCATAACCAACTTGTAAGTAACAAATCATATCTCTAGGTTTAAAGATTTATATGATATTACCGTCTCACGATCACTCGAGATAGAATTCCATGAAGTGATTCCAGTGAGCGTGGGTTGAGTCCAATGCTCAGAACTTATGAGCACTCATGATTGTTGTAGCCTTGTCCCAGACCTCTACAACCAAACATGACAGTCTTGATTCATACCTACTTCCGACATATGACCGACTGTGGAGGTTTGAATAATATGTTATACCAAACAAAATTATTCTGGAAGTCAAAACATGCAAAAGAAATATAGTAAACGATCGACAAGAGATAGCAACACTTTACTCATAAATAAAACACTTTTATTCATCATCAAATGTCAATTACACTTTACAAATTTCGAGATTATCTAACTACTAAATCTAATATCATCCTTCAGCCCTATGCTCCGAGCATGCTGGAGATGCTTAACCCGAGTCAGTCCCTTCGTGAGGGGATCTGCCGGATTCTCATCTGATGATACCCTCTTTGCCACGAGGAGTCCTTCTTCGATCCGATGTCTGATGAAATGGTATTTTCTGTCGATGTGTCTGGATCTCCCGTGATCCCTTGGTTCCTTGGCTAAGGCAACAGCTTTCACTATCACAGAAAATTTCCATTGGCTCTTTAATAGCTGGTACAACTCCAAGGTCTCCAATGAAGTTCCTCAGCCATAAAGCCTCCTTTGCCGCCTCGCTAGCTGCAATATACTCTGATTCACAAGTAGAATCTGCCACTGTCTCTTGCTTGGAACTCTTCCAAGAAATTGCTCCTCCATTTAGGGTAAAGACCCAGCCCGACTGAGAGCGGAAGTTATCCCTATCAGTCTGGAAGCTAGCATCACTATACCCTACAACTCTCAAGTCATCACTCCCACCGAGGGTAAGGACCCAGTCCTTAGTCCTTCGTAGGTACTTGAGAATATTCTTTACCGCAGTCCAGTGTGCCTTGCCAGGGTTCCCCTGAAACCTGCTAACCATGCTCAAGGCAAAGGCTACATCAGGTCGAGTACACGTCATAGCATACATGATCGAACCTACAGCCGAAGCATAAGGTACTCGACTCATTTCTGCTATCTCAGCCTCAGTGCTAGGGCTTTGTGTCTTACTCAACTTGGCGCTACTCTGGATGGGCAACTCTCCTTTCTTGGAGTCTTGCATTCTGAATCTCTTCAGAACCTTCTCCAAGTAGGTACTTTGACTAAGTCCAATTAGTCTTTTACTCCGATCTCTCAAGATCCTTATCCCCAAAATATAGGCAGCTTCACCAAGGTCCTTCATAGCGAAACACTTTCCAAGCCAGGACTTTACTTCCTGCAGGGTTGGAATGTCGTTTCCTATGAGTAGTATGTCATCCACATACAATACCAAAAAGCTAACTATACTCCCACTAGCCTTGACATATACACAAGATTCATCTTCACTCCTAGAAAAGCCAAATTCCTTGACCTTTTCATCAAAGCAAAGATTCCATCTGCGAGGTGCTTGCTTTAATCCATAAATGGATTTCTCAAGCTTACACACTCTATTAGGGTACTCGTTGCTGACAAAACCCTCTGGCTGACTCATGTAAACATCTTCAGCCAACTTCCCATTAAGGAAAGCGGTTTTGACATCCATTTGCCAAATTTCATAGTCATGAAATGCGGCTATGGCTAACAGAACCCGAATAGACTTAATCTTGGCTACCGGAGAAAAGGTCTCATCATAATCCACTCCAGGAATTTGAGAGAAGCCCTTTGCAACCAGTCTAGCCTTATAAGTGTGTACTTTACCATCCATGTCGGTCTTCTTCTTGAAGACCCATTTGCACCCTACAGTCTTTCGACCTGGTACATTCTCAACCAAGTTCCAAACTTGATTGTCATACATGGATTGTATCTCGCTATCCATAGCCTCTTTCCATTTGCAGACTCGGGGCCTGCCATGGCTTCCTCGTAGCTGTTAGGGTCATCTTGACTTACTAGTGTCTCATCACTAATAAGTGTCTCACCTTCTGCAGTAATATGGAATCCATAGTAATGCTCAGGTGCACTCCTAACTCTCGTGGAACGCCTCAGAGGTACAGATTCGTCAATTGGCTCAACAGGAGTTTCCTCCTCAAGTTGAGGGCTAGAGTTTGAAGTTCCTTCACCACTTGACTCTTGAATTTCTTCAAGATCAACTTGCCTCCCACTGTCTCCTTGGCTTATAAACTCTCTTTCTCGAAAGACTCCTCTTCTTGCTACAAAGACCACATTGTCACTAGGTCTGTAGAAGAGGTAACCAAAGGATTGTGTGGGTAGCCGATGAAAATACACCTCTCGCTTCGGGGTTCGAGCTTATCATGAGTCTCGCGTCTCACGAAAGCCTCGCAACCCCAAATCTTGATGTGGTCTAGTTTAGGTACTTTACCAGTCCACATCTCGTGAGGAGTTTTGGCAACTTTCTTTGTAGGGACTAGATTAAGGATATGGGCGGCAGTCTCTAAGGCATACCCCCAGAATGAGATTGGTAGCGAAGCTCGACTCATCATGGAACGAACCATGTCCAACAAGGTTCGATTACGCCTCTCAGCCACACCATTCAACTGCGGTGTCCTGGGAGGTGTCAATTGTGAGACAATCCCACATTCCTTTAGATAGTCGAGGAACTCTGAACTAAGATACTCACCACCTCGATCGGATCGAAGCATCTTAATGTTCCTGCCCAATTGATTCTCGACTTCCTGTTTAAATTCCTTAAACTTCTCGAAAGTCTCTGACTTATGCTTGATTAAGTAGACATATCCATATCTACTGTAATCATCAGTAAAAGTCAAATAATAACGATTAGCATCCTTGTGGCATGTTTGAATGGTCCACACACATCCGTGTGTATAAGGTCCAACAAACCTTCACCCCTTTCACACGAGCCTGTGAAGGGTGACTTTGTCATTTTTCCAAGTAAGCATGATTCGCAACTATCATTTGACTTTAGGTCAAACGACTCCAAGACTCCATCCTTTTGGAGTTGGCCTATGCGTTTCTTGCTTATATGTCCAAGACGACAATGCCATAATGATGCTTTATCCAAGTTATTATTATTAGTAGAATCAATACACAAAACATTATTTCCTAAGTTATCTACAATAGATACAGCTTCATACACACCATCACAAGGTAATGCTTTAAAATAAAGTACATTATTAAAGAAAGCATTAATCGAACCAACTTCATTATCAAACGAAAAGGTGAAACCTTGTTTGTACAATGCATGAAAGGAAATAATATTTCTTGCCATTTCTGGCGAATAACAACATTTATTCAAATCTAAATTTAACCCACTACTTAGCGATAAAGTATAAACTCCAATCTTGGTGACAGGTGTAACTTTCCTATTCCCCATGATTAAGTTTATTCTTCCTTGCTCCACATTCTCACTTCTTCCTAGTCCCTGCAAGTCACA